TTTGAACACTGGTAGTTTGGTCCAGTTTCGTGGTTTTCTCCATGTGTAATGTGTATACGAGCCAACTTTCTTCAGAACGTTCTCCACGAAAGCATCCCTCCAGTCAGACAGATAGACCTCGAGGCTTTGATATAACCACCTAAAATAAACCAAACCAAACCTAACCGTCGTATTAATATATATATATATATTTCTTATCTCTAATAAATGATGTAAATGTGGCTTCAAATTATTCAATTACTTTGCTGTTGCTTAATTCTGATTTCCAAACTGTTGCAATAATATAAGTAACATTTTTGCTTGCAGTCAAAATATTGAATTATAAAATTTCTGTAACGAAAACATCGCACTACAACTCCTTACTGTTTAGAATTTAATTTTAGAAACTTGCAATAAACACTGAAAGATATTTTAAGTTCTGGTTTATGTATCATTCAAACCTCTTAAATGCATTTTTTAGGCGCTGATTCGCTATCAACGGTTGAATCACTTTTCAGATTGTTGCAACCAAATATTATCGCCCTGTATTATATTTAAAGAAAACAAATAATGAAGAATTTACATAAATGTATGTGTGTTTCTCGCATTGTGAAAAAAACAACAGAACCTAGAGATAAAAAATTTTGAATAAAGTAGGTGCACACTCGATTATGGGTATCAGTTATCCCGAACCTTTAAACTCAGCTTATATACGTTGGACAATTTTTAACACACTCTATTAGTCGTACATTCAATCAAAAGGGTAGCTTCCCATCGCTAAATCAACTTGTCGAAAGAATGTTGATCATTGCCAATACAAATGATATTATGTACACATATTAACGTACTTTATCACCGTATGTTACCACGCCTGTTATTATACCCAGTGCACTAGCCACGCCTATTTTAATACTCTTCGTGTTTCCGTCTTCGATTGGTATTTACGGATTAGAAGCTCCTATCAGCGACTAGCCAGATTTCAAAAGCCTCAAAATGAGAATCCATTAGGGTTTGTCTTGTTCCTTGAGCTAAGCATAGCTGGTGGTAGACTGGAGTAAATGCAATTTGTCTTCTTGAAATAAACCGCCCTCTTCCGGATCCAACGGCCAATAGTCTAAGCTAAAGGGGGGGGGATAAGTTATGCTGCGAAGAAATCGACGCTAAATTCCAGTCCCTTCCGTAATTATCGAGCAGTAAGTTGAAATTGCTACCCTTCAAAACTGTGCAAATGTTACTACTTCAGCGTAAGAATTTCTTTTGTAAATAATTTATTTATCAGTCATCTACCCTGCATTTAAACTGTGTTTTATCAATTGCTTTGAATATTATCGAAACATACATGTTCGCGTATTACAGCGATTTTGGGTAAGCTTGACTTGGAGGTGTTGTCGTTTACCAAAATGCACTTTCTCATCGTCCTTCTTTCTAATGTTTTGGTCATTCAGTATGGTTTATAATTATTTTAATAACATATTAAGATAAAAGCACAACATCATAAAACAATTTTTTCAAAAAAATCGTTTAAAAAATATTGATTTGTTGTTGCTCTTTCTGATTTGTTGTTTCTCTCTAAACCTGAATTTCTAAAATGTCCGCAGTGAATTCATAGACGGAAAATGAAAGATAAATGGATGCAGTTCTTTCGTTTAATTCAGAATTTCTTAAACTATGGGTCGCGACCCCAAATGGGGTCGCAAATAATAATTCAATTCGATACTTCAGTTTAAAGAAACTTAAAGTATGCTTGGATTCATAAGAGTTTTAATGAATTACATTAATTGACATTATTAAGATTTGAATTTTAAAGAAATAATATTAATTGATGTTAATGAGATTGTTATATAAAGTGCAAAAGAAATTTGTAAAGTTATTTAAAGTTTGTAAAGTGATTCAAACTTAAAACTTAACAACAAAAATCCTTGATGAATTCTGGATCGCAGCTAGAACTAAATTTCTCACTATTTCTGAAATGGCATTAAAAGTGCTTCTCTCCTTCAGCACCACATATTTTTATAAAACTACTATTTCATGTTTAATGCTAATTAAATCCAAATGCCTTTCAACGTTGAAACATGTTGAAGATGCTTTATATCCAGCATTGTCAAATATCATACCAGCATTTATTTTGTTATACAGCAGAAAACAAGCACATCTGTCTCATTAGAATTTTCTTTAACTTTTGTTTGCTTGAAATAAAATACTTCTAAATAAATCTAAAGCTATTTTTATATGTATATTGTTTCACAAATAAGCAACTTATTTAGCGGAGGATATTTATTTTTATACCTTTACTAGCGGAAGTACCCGATGCTAATTAAGTTAGATTGAGAGTAATGAATCTAACATGCAAAAAATACGATTCATAGTCATACATTTTTCAGGCTGATGCCATAGGGAACCCACATAAAAAATTTTGATAGAAAACTAAACTAATTCTCTCTCATTATATCGGCAACAATGCCACGTACTTTTTAATGGTTTTCGTCTTTCTAATCGGTTGGTCGTAAAAGCTCAAATTCCATTCAATATTTCACTTATATTCAAACTTTGTCAATTAAATGTGGCAAAAAATTAATCAGAATTAATCAGAAATCAACAACGCGAACAAACACACAAACTGACATTCTGCTTTATATATATTTAGATTTTGTAAAAATTATAAATTTTTGATTAACAAACTCTACGGTTTGAAAGCGAGCAGTAGCAACACTTTTAGAAGCAAAGCATTTTTATCGCCAACGCGACAAACTGTTGCTGCTCAGAAAAATGAGTGCGAAACTTAGTGTTTTCAGAGTTTTCAATTAATATCTCGGCTGATTAAAGTCTTACGAAGATACGAACAGTCGAAATGGCTTCCCAAGAACTTTTGAAATCGCGAATATTGTATTTAATGTTTGGCAACGCTATTTTTTTCCATTGTAAAAATTAGAAATTTTTTATTAACAAATTCAAAGATCTGAAAGCGAGCAGTGGCAACACTTCTCGAAGCAAAGCAGATTTTTATCTCCAGCGTGCGAGACTGTTGCCACTCGGAAAAAATGAGGGCGAAAATTAGCGTTTCCAGAGTTTTTAATTAATATCTCTGATTTTTTGTTTTCCTTTAAATAATTGGACGTCGATTTTTCCCAGGATCCAGAAAAGAATTGTAGAAAGTTTAGTGACGATAGCTGTAATAGTTAATCGCAAACAAACGCACAGACATTCTTCTTTCTATAGAGAGATTTTATATTTAATATCTGGGCTCGCGAAGAAACTCTCAATGATAAAAAGGGGCTGCGATTAAAGAAAAAAAAATTAATAAGCCCTGGTTTAATTCAAACCTGTAATGAGTAATAGAATGGTAGTTAAGATATTATTTTATAATTTTAAGGCATGTTTTACTTCTGTCTCAATGTTAAGTTGCTTATGAAGTAAATGTGTTGTTAACTGCAATACATTATATTCGACGTTAATGGCAAAACTGAATTACTTTTGTTAGTAACTATCTTCCGTTTTAATCAAATATATTACTGAAGCCTATTCCTTTGTTTCAGGGGGGGGGGGAAGTATGATACATATTAGCATTGAACTGATACCTGGGCAAACATTATCCATGTTAGAAACTTAAATATTGCCGAGATATTTAATGAATAATGAAGCTGATTCCTTTCGATTACTTTTAATTCTTTTACCTCTGCATTACCTCTTTTAAGAAATATGAATTTCGACCTCAAGAACGGATTAGTCGCTACAGGAACGAAACAATGTTAGTTAGCGAAGTGATGAATCGTTTCATTGTTAAGAAATCTGATTACCTTAATAAGAATAACCAGGCCATATGGTATGCTGTTAACAGAGTATAACTTCACTCGATTTTTAGTCTGTGTTAAAATTCGAGACACGTAAAACACAATTAAATTTCAACCAGGGATAACTGCAATGTCCTTGCTGAATGAGATCACTTAAAATATATGTCAGTGTGAAAATTTTCCCCAAGGGATAGTCTAGTCTAGTCTTGTACACATGGCCGAGAATATCGTTGGGCGATGTGTCCGGTTCTGTCAGATAATGCTAAGTAGGCCATTCGTATGAGAAGGCCATCATTTGCTCTCTCTGAGAGGAAAACCTAAAGGACAGGAGAGGATTAAAATGTATATTTTAAAATATATAAACACATGTGGAACGTGAGCTGGTGATGATGTATGTCACTTCCGGACGAAAGTGCAGAAGTGCAGCTGTGAGTTTTAAATTCTTGTCAATCAGATCCGTAGGCTCGCGCGTTACCGCAGCGTTGTTCTTCATTGCATAAGGTTTTCTATAATTGGAATTCTATCAGTCTCTGAATCGGGTGTTCCTTTAATAAAGTCATGATGTGCGTGCGATGTAAAAATTCGTAATAGTTGATGCAAATACAAGGAAATGAGTGACTCCTGCAAATAAAGATCCTATGTACAGTTATTGTATGAGAAATGAGTTGAATGAGTACTTGTAAAAGTAAAAATGTGTACAGTAGTTACAGAGCACATCTTTCAATTTAAATAAATAAATTGAAATGATTAAGATGCTTGCAATTAGTGGGGTCATAAAAGAATTTTTCATTTAGCTTATTCATATATTTCTCGATAGGTTCGAATTTAAAATTTTTGTGCAGTCTTTGATTGCATACATAATAACACTAATTCTTAAAAAATGATTTTGTAATCTTTGAAGCTTAAGATGTATACAGTATCTATATTTATATTCGTAGCTTTAACCAAGCGATTTTCATATTCGAAAAAGAACAATGAGACTCATCCGCTTGGATACAGGTGGTCAAATACACGCTCGCTCCGGCTGACAGTTTTCGGTTTGCTTGGCTTAAACTGAATAATTTACCTAATAAGGAACTTGAAATAGCGAAAAGGGATTGTTCAATGTGTAACAACGAAACAATTATTGATTATTTACATTTTAATTGTACTATATAGAGAATTTGACGATTTACATTACATTTAAAATCATTTCAATGATGTTATTGACAAATACGTATTTTTTTTTAACAGGAGCCCCAGAGTCTCCCAGGGAATGTGCTGTAACAAACCAGTCATCGACCTCATTATCCGTCGAATGTGAGCCCGGGTACGATGGAGGATTGACTCAGACTTTCCATTTAGAGCTATATAATTCAGTGGTAGAACATTTGGCAGCTAATCTCACCACAGCAGATAAACCTGCCTTCAAAGTTCACAATTTACCACCTGGCACTGCCTTCGTTCTTGTGCTTTATGCGTCCAATGGAAAAGGAAAAAGCAATTCAGTGGCACTTATGGCATCGACCCTTCCACCGCCGGAAAGACATACAGGTGATGTTTCCAAAGGTATCTGAATAATACGATTGATCATAATTCTTAGATATTTATGTAATGCTCTTAATACTTTAAAATAAGTTTAGTACATTTCTTAAGCAGACAATACAGAATAATGTTTACCTTCACACTGCTTAATAATGTTTAACTTCACACACAATACTAACTTCATATTTTCTTCTAAAATAACAGAAGTTCGAGACACACAAAATGTAGTTTAAAATACCTTTCTTAAATTTACGTTAAGAAAGTATAATATAATGCAAATAATTATTGCAAAACACAAAGTACAGTATATTATAAATAATTAGATTGCCAGTATGCGTAACTTGTAAAGAGGTTATCACACTTGGCTACAGTTCCTGCTAGACAGGACTTTTCTGAGAAACGAGATTCTGGTAGTACTGGTTTAAACGGGAGGATTCCCAGAAAAAAGAGTCCCGCCTAGCTACGGAAACGATGTTGAGGCTACACGGGATTTTTCCAAACCTCACTGAAAATTTCTCAGCTGAACCTCTGTCCCGGGTAGAGACAACTAATCAGACGAAAGTTCTACTTCTGAAGCATTCACGTGATCTCAAGCTGAGCGATAATCGATTAGTGTTTGGCGTTCATGTCTTTGTAGTAAGTGAAAATGGTAACCTAACTATCTGGGTTTCCTGGAATTGTGCGGATTCTGAGAATTGTTCCTTTCGATGTCAAGTCCCGCGCAGCAGAAGCATAATGTAATTGAGGTTTAAAACTGCGTTCTGTACAAGTGTACTTTGAAAACCGGAATTTGACCATTCAAAGTGGCGATTTCGCCGTGGTCGTTTCGTCGTCGGGCCATTTCGCCGTCGGGACGTTTCGCCGTCAAGATATATTTTTCTTTACACAACTGTATTTTTTTTTGCCATATTATATTGATTTAAATCAGTAACTCTGTTTAGTTTAATACTTTAATTTAATTTGATAAACAATTTATATAAAATAATATACAAAATGTTTTTGTGCACAATTTTATACAAATACGCCGTTACAATGACATATTAATTTTAAGAGAGTAAGGTGTTGACAAGATACAAGGTAATTCCTTTTCCATTCAGATTTCATAAAAATGTGAATTTGTGAGTGATTTCTCTGAACTAGCCGATTAAAATTTAAAGAAATCTTGAAGAATCATGTAAATATTGTACCCGCATAATTTTAAAATCGATAATATAACGTCTGTTATGTCAGAAATTTATCCCCAGTTCTCTTCGATACTGACATAATTTCCCAACTATCTGCGTAATTTCTTTATATCTCATACTTGTAAATAACTATATATATTAAAAGCAATCTTTATTTAGGATAAAAAAGCTAAACAATTATTAAACTAAATAAATTTAATACGAGTATAATACGGGAAGATAAATTTCAGTCATGTAAAGTAAAATATGTCTTGACGGCGAAACGTCCCGACAGCGAAACATCCCGACGACAAAACGTCCCGATGCCGAAACGGATACGGCGAAACGGTCACGTGGAAATGGCGACGGCGAAAAGTCCTAGATCCTTGAAAACATTTAGCTCCCTTAAAATTTCACAATATTATTTCCCTATTATTTTTTGTAAATGTTAAACTAAAATTAAACCCATAAGTAAATAATAAGTAATAAATAATTCATGTCAAATAATTTAATAATGTTAATATAAAATTTTACCCTTGTTATTCTTTTCTAATTAACTCACAAAATATTAACATACTATGCTGTTATCAGGTTTACAGAACTCTTTTACACCGCTTAATCTCTTACCCATTCTTTCAATATAATTTGACTGGACCGGCGAAAAATGTTTTCCTACAGACATAGTATTTATAAACTTAATTTAAACATTGTATCATCAAAAATGGGGCCCTACCGTATTAAATATAGATATCACAGTCATAATGATATATTAAAAAATATCCAGTTAAATATCTAAATCGGAAAATATCCAAAATACGTTACTTCGCGAAATGCTAACTCATGTAAAAATTGTTTAAACTTTCATTTCCTGAAGTTAATTTTGAGCATGATAGCGCAAATAATGAAAACTTCTGATTGCTAGTAAAAATACTAGTAGCATGGAAATGAGAGCCTAGCAACAGAAAGCGCAGCACGCAAGAGCTAGCAGGCGGCGTGCAGTGCAATATGCCAGACCAGAATAATTATCAAAATTTAATAGGAGGCAATGTTTTACTGATTTTCAGGTAAAAAATGTAACTACCGCATCTGTTTAACTTAAATTGATTAAATCTGCGGGCTTCTGTGTATTGCGCTTTCTGTCACAGAACTCTCATTTTCTTACTACTTATACATAATTACTTCATACTAAATATTTATACTTAATATTATAAGTAGTATGAATGATAATTAATTAATATGCATAATACTTATTTGAATTTATTTAGCACATAGACCATATAACAAGCTTTCGTTTAGATAATATTTTCAACTTTTAATTAATTCTATCAGAAATGAAGAAATAAATGATGCTTGGATAATATGAAACGCTTACGTTTAAATCTCTTTAATAAGAGTTTTAAACTTAAGAGTTAGATGCGACACCTGATCCTCTGTGACAAATAGAAAATTCAAGCTTAGTGACCTATTATTTTTTCATTTTGTTTTCGTTTATAAGAGTTCTTTAATAAGAGTTTTAAAATTAAGCATTTCAGATGAGATACCTGATCCCTGTAACAAGTAGAAAATTCAAGCTTAGTGACCTTATTATTTTATCATTTTGTTTTCGTTTAAGCACTGACTTTAAGATAAAATGCATCTTCAGTTCTGTTTGATTAACTTTAAGCGAGTATTACGCTTTCATTTTCCTTAAAAGAAAAGTTTAAGTAGCAAATGCAACTTAAACTAAATTTAATGCAACTTATAAGTTTGGCACTTTAATGAAAACTTCTTTTAAATGGTTGAAATCGTATCTACTTTCACTAGCTTTAAACTCAGTTTAAAGAGGTAAAATCCTTCAAATATATCTCTGTACTTATGTTATGTCTATGTTGCATGAGGCAGTCGCACGATTATCTGAAAACTAAGCCTTACTACATAATGGACGAAAAAAATAATAGGTTGTTGCATCTGAAATTAGCCGTTGAAAGACACCGTTTTAACTGCTTGCGGAAAACAGCAAGCGCTGATGTTTATGCAATATTTTTAAGCCGTATGGCAACGTCACGGATTAGCGACGCAAGTGCAATATTTGTTTTATTTAACGAGCACTAAAGTTTGAACGCTACCGACACCAATTCAATCACGCAACTCACACTAAGGCAACAATAACGTGGCGAGTTCAAACCGGAAAGTTCTATAACGGGCTGCAGTAGAAAACCAATAAAGCATTCAGTGAAGGAACAACTAATGAGAGATCCATTCACTACTGATTTGCAAAATTTCGCTGCAAAACGAAGAGAAAGAAACGAAGGAGATAGAGGCTATGAAACGAAAGCTATGGATACCATTCTATTTTTCTTAACTTGAATAAGTTAAAGGATTTAATGGAATCACATCCCCGACAAATTGTACAAGAGATCGTTCGGGCGCCAAAAGCACACTTTTCAAACGTTTTGCTGCAGCTGGCATTAACAGAATAAGTAAAGAAGAATGGAATAGAATAGAATAAGTTGGTGCCTGAAAGACGAACCACACCAGTGTTTGGAAATATGTTGTTCTCTCTTGAGAAGAAATAAAGAAAGCATATTGCTGCAAAAACGTTTTCTTATCGATGACAACTAGGTATTATACGATAGTCTCACATATTCGTCACAGTGTTTGATAGTGAAAATGTTTCCAGAAGATTCCACCATTGCATCCACAAAAGTACGCTGTTTAGTGTGGAAGTCTTCTGCTGCTTTTCTCACAGCTCATTCCTTTCATGAGGTGAAATGATAAATGAAGCTTTAACAAATATGAGGCAAAATTTTACAAATTGCACGTTAACCTTTAGCTGGTTGCGAGATTAAACAATTTCTTCTTATACGTTTCAATATACGCGATATCAACCAGTTGTAAATTTGTAATGAGAGTTGTTTCGTTTGAGCCTACTGCGGTGCGTCATTGAAATACGATCTGAGGTAGTTGTTGTCTTGTCCATTAATTTCATGGAAGAATGGTTCAGAGTCTCAAGGCGGTTAGACTTCTACTTCCACACCAGTTCTGAGACCCTCGGACCACCTTCGGGGGGGGACGGGGCCGAGGGTCTTCCACCCCTCTCCTCTTCCACCAAACCATACGAGAGGACTTTCAGCTAGCCATATATTTAGTGTCCCCATGCTGCAAAGATAGTAATACATTTACAAACACCCATGTCATCTCCGGTACAAGAACCCGGGCCCTTCGATACCTCAGTAGGTTTCCCTAATAACTGTACCGTTTGGGCGGCCATCTGATCTAGTTGATGATAATCAAAGAGTTAAGCAACTAGCACTTACGAACAAACATAGAGTCCTAACACTTCAAGTTAACGCCAGACTTAATGCGGCAGTGCCAAAAAATCAGTTATTTAGGATACGAAATTATACTACATTCTTCAATACTGGAGAACTTCCATCACATGCAGAGACACTGGTTTCTATAAATATAATACAAATATCTTTAACTAAAATGTCACGCTTTGGCTAAAATGTCACTTTTGTTTGAGCAGCAGGCGTTCTTCTTTTCATTTTCTTCTATCGATTATTTCATTTGCAGCAACGCAATATTTGTTGTAGTAGCCAATATTTTCAATTTACATTCCAATTGTATATTTTATTCCATTGTATAAATATTAGTTTAAGAATAGGAAATTGATTAGAAACATTAGTTTTATGTAGTATTTAAATTTGGAAGAAAGTTGATTTAATGGCTTCATTTTGTTATAGCAGAAGAGGAATTAGCAACTATCAGCCCAGTACTTGGAATCCTCATCGGAGTAGTATCTGCCTTAGTTCTGGTGGCGATCATCACAGTCATCATAATTAGAGTACAAAGTTCAAAAGAACATACGAAAGGTAAGAAATTCTACAGAAAATTCAATTTAGTTGTAACAAATTAAACTGTGAAATAATAAATAAAAAATACAAAAATTAGGAATTGCTGTTATAATTGTAAATATTGAATGTGTATTGGTATATACTGACCTTCTTGCTGGTACATTCTTTAGCGGATTTCTTCACCAGTTTGGATAAGTCTAAGATTGAATTCCGGGTAAGATACGGATGTCAGTATGATTATATCCATCCTTTTCGGTTTCATACCCTTTCTGTCATTCTAATCTATTTGCTCAATGCCAGAACTATAAAGTATTGACTTTTTTTTTGCAAAACAGGGAATATACAAGATTATTCTAGCGCACGTCCGTTTTAAAAATGAATATCTAGAATGGGACATTAATGTTCCGTTGTTACTTATAGGAAAAAGAAAATGTTTTTTATGTAATTTTATTTACACACTTACCTCCATATACAGTTTTCACTTGTTATTTATAATTTTGGTTATACTTTATATAAAGGCTGATTATAAAAATAAGGTACATAAAATAGTATACAGATTAGTAACAGACAAATGGATGTATGCAAGTGAAAAAAAGTAATTAAAAGCTGTTGTTAAACATATATTTGACTTTGATTAAGTAACAAGAAAAGAAAGGTAAAAAAATAAAAATAAAAAAGTGAAGTTATAAAATAAATCACTTAAAACATTGATTTCAGGACCTTTAAAATAGTAAGAAATGATAATTAAAATGTAATAGAATAATAGGATTTGCAAGTAAGTATATAAAATATAAATAGATGTATTTAAAAAAAGGACTCTATAACTGATAAACTATTTTAATGTTTTATATACAGGCGAAACTTAAATATTTTTCTTTATAAATATGCTTATATTGACTGTATGTAAACATGTGTGATGAAATTTAAATCGCAAATCAGTTAGAGAAAAAATAATGCACTGCAACCCATTTCGTAAGCTGTCTGGGAAAAAAATAAGAATACATATATATATATATAGCTGTTTAGATAACATGAATTAAGTCAGAAGAGAAACGCCTCAAAGGGAAACTTAAAATTAGTAAAGAAACAACTTTATATTTATCGTAGATTTTAGACAAAAAACTCAATCGATTTGCAGGGCAAACAGGTCCCTCTTCATCAGGAGCAAATAAATTTGCAAGCCTGGAAAGCAACTGGCGTAACGACCCTATCAACGGATAAAAAAAACATGAATTTTATGTCTGAAACGGTGAAATTAACAAGTCTTCCACAGCTAATCATAGCTGGGAATTTAATCATAATTTTGACTTTGGGTCTGCAAAAACTATCCAAAAATCTTCTTCCATTAGTGAGTAGGATTTTTTGAAGCTTTTCACATTCACAAAGGTTTATCTTGTTTAGTTAATGACTTTAAGTCTAATAAAGTCCTTCCTAACGCATTTAAAATGCTATTACTTTTTAAAAATTTTCATTACTAATGTAACCAAAAGATGGCACTACATTCTTGTTCGCTTTACTGCGGCAGGGTATAAATAGAACCGTTACGCCCGCTGCTTTCTCCCATGTGTGATGCTAGCTTGGTGGTAAAGCTGATCGGAAAGAACACTTAACTTCTGGGGTCGTGAGTTCGAATCCCATGCGCTTTTCCTCGAAAATCGTACTTTCTCAGTTAGACAAGGTGATCATTTTACTAATCCATATCTTATCCTGGGAGGGGTCGCCCAGGGCAGTATCCTAGGACCCATTATCTATATTATTTACGTTTACGATTTTCCTACCTTCCCGGAAGACTGCAACTTTCAACTTGCCTGTTGCGCGGATGACACCGCACTTATACAAAAGTCCAGAAAACCTAACAATGCTCTCGTCAAACTCCAAAATAAAATGAACCAGGTAGAGGAATGGTGCAAGAAGTGGAGAGTGAACATTAATGCGAACAAATCACAAATTCTGCTCATCCGGCGCTACAAGCACCTGGATAACATCTCCACTACTGTTACCCTATTTGGCACACCAATCCCGATTGTAACTCAAGCTAAATATCTCAGAATTACTTTCAATAGAACTTTCACCTGGTCGACGCACATCAATATTACCAGGGGGAAATCTTCGGTATCATGTGCAAGCTTTTTCACCTACTAGCTGAATCTTCAGGTCTTAGCCTAAATAGGAAGAAAAGAATATATACAGCAATCATAAGACCCATCATTACATACGCATCTCCAGTCTGGGCAAATGCCAAACAAAACGATCTCAAAAAGCTGCAAATTATCCAGAACAAGTTTCTCAGAATCATCACAGGAGCCCCATATTACATCAGAAATAAAAACCTGCACCGAGATTTAAAAATTGAATATGTGAAAACCTACATCAATAAGCTTAACGAAAATTTCTACAAAAAAGCAAATCAAAATAGCACAGCAGACTTCTCTAATATTTTAAATTACGAAATCATAGAGGACGATTACTACAATAGACCCTTCACCGCCCATACAATTAATATGTTAAATTTGCACACAACTTAAGCAGCATCGACTCGGGTCAGTTTCCGAGAGGGTGACCACCTCACGTGATCAGCCTGATTATTGCAAAGTGTCTCGCTTCTAACAACCAGCGCTGTCTTCTGATTCGCCAGCCCATGATCCCGGCTCTCCGCCTACGAACTGTGAATTTCTTTCAACCACCATCACCGCCACCAGAGGGCGACAGACCTGACTGATGTTACTTTATTCTTTTCCTCCCACTCACAGCTCCCTCCATGGGATTTATTCAGGTATTCTCATTACCATGCCCATTGTGGATTTACATCAGGTTTACAGGGAAGTACTGCGAATGCAGTAGACCCCCTGTATAAATACTTCTGTCTCAAAGTATCAACTGCTTTTTCCCAATTCGACTCCATCATCTACTCACGTGATCGTGGTCACTTCCCTTTTTACACTTTCGACAGTTCATCTTGGACTTAGTTCATGTATCGTTCTACCTCGAGGCCCGTAGTGGAACACCACTTCAAGACAGCCGGAACACGTTTTGCAATATTTACACGGCAGTTGCGGCATATCAGTGGTAGTTGAAGTTGGAGCTGCTTTCTGGTTTTGCAAATTTCTTGTCTCCTCATGAAGAGGGATGTGTTTGCCCTCGAAATCGAATGATTTCTATTTTTTTTTTTTTTTTTTTTTTTTTTTTTTTTCGTCTAAATGTACGCCCAATATAAGATTGGTTCTATACTAATCTAAAGTGAATTAATTAAACTCAATTTCATGTTACATTCAGTTTGAAGTGAGCTGTTGTAAAGAACTAAAGCTATATTCCTAGGAAAATTTAATGAAAAAATTGGAAAGGGGTGGGAATCTTTTTTCCCACATTATAATTTGAATTTAAAAGGAGAAAAACTAATTTCGTTTATAATACTGAATGCAGAAAATATCCTACGGCTTCTTTAGTCGTTTTTTTTTAATTGGTAGCTATGTATAAATGGGAAAAGCATATAGTAATTAAAATATTCATTTAATTCGAAGTGTGTTATTGTGTGAATTTGTTATTGTACGTTGTCTGAAGATTATGCAACTAAAATATTTTATCTATAACGTGGTGTGGATTTAATGTAAATAAAAGCAGTTCACCAGAAGGATTATAATAATTAGAGCTGCTTTCAAAACACTATTAGACTCTGGCAATGAGAGGTTTACTCGTTGTACGCATTGCAACTAATCGACAGCGTGGTGTATAAAAAGTGTAATATTAATAATAATAATCCATGATTCATTATTTTGTTAACTATGGCTGGGAAGAGGTTACGCCCATCGGTTTTGTTTATTTATCGACATCCATTAACAGACCCTCAAACTACTGATGAAAGCCCACCAGCGGCTAAGCAGTAAAAGCCACTGAATACTGGCAGTTCGGTCCGGGGTTCGAGTCCCGCGACGGGCTGGCTGCATGGACGTTTCTGTGGTTTTTCCCATGTGTAATGGGGATAGGAGTCAGTTTCCCTTAAACGGACCTCCACTGGGCACCCCTCCCTTTCCGTGTAGTGTCTAAGAGTGGATCACGTAATAAGTAAAAAAGGTACTGCTAAAAACAAATGACGTGGAAAATTATCCGTGACGACCACTAAATGCCGATCCAACTTCAAGTTAGAAGCAAAAAATAAAGGTTTTCGATCTTGTCAGTGATTGCATGGCTTGCCAATGATAAGAAAATGCTTAATATCTGATACTATAAACTTCTTTTATATGCTACCCTTTTATATACCATTTACATGCAAGTGTTTATGAAAATAATAATTCGAGTCATTACAAATTGCATAACGTAGTTATATTACTAAAATTTAACTAAAAATTACAAAGAATAACCTTATATAGCTTAGTTTATCACACTGGACAAAATAAATTTTGTAATTTTAAAAATAAATTGAAAAATTTTCAGCACTGTGTTTGGCAAGAATTCAAAACTTTAAATATGCTAAGAAATGTAAAGGTATTCTCCCACAAGGCGTGTAACAACTATGAGAACTGAAAAAATTCAATAGTGTGCGTGAGCCTAATGTTGTGGTAGCGTAATTTAATATAAGGAAGACGTTAACCGAAAAATGCATACTCAGTTATAAACGTTTCTAACATCATTCAGAATCGATAATAAATGTTTCTAGCCTCGTAGAGACACAATTATAAAGGTTCCTAACTTAATAAAAGAAACTTAATATAAAATATGAAGTCTGGTAATGTTTTAAAGAGTTTGGATTTTTTTTTGTGGTCTTATCTCCATGGCAAAATATTAACTATTACTCATTTTACAGAAAATAAACTAATTTGATTATATAAAAGAATAGAGCTTAGCTAAAAAATATAATATTTCAGTCATGAACTTCGAAGAATAAATTAAACAATACAGCATATTTTTTACTTGCATAAAAATTCAATCTAAAATAATTTGCAAAGCGCAGTATATGTATCTCCAACTTTACTTTCAACTCGAAAAGCTTTGCCAAGTTTTTTCCTGGAGTTCAAACCGGAATAAAAACGACATTAGAAACTAAACATAAAGTCTCCGTAACTCGAAAAATAACAGGAGACATTATATTTAACAGGATTCAAATTACCCTTATGCAATGGCAACTCTCTGTCAGTTTTAAATCTTCACTGTAATTTACTAATTCTGTACTCCTAATTTACAAATTTGCAGCTCTCCTAATTTATTATTACTAAAATCAGAGACGCATGCGGTGGTATCAAAACTAATTACGAACTCTCTTAGTGCAACGCTTAAATTTTATTCTACAAAAAACGCATTTTGAGTATAAGCGTTTTTAGAGCGGAGAGCTATCGAAAATTTAGCGTCTGCAAAATGACAGCCAGCCATACCGAAACTGTCTTTAAATACTTAGTAATGTAACAAAGCAACGTACTGGAGGCACCTTTCGCTGAAATATGAGAAAAATTAAGCCATTTAAAATTTAAAATCCTTGCAGCCGTAGTCTGACTGGCAGCTCGCGGGCCGCATTCAGCGCTCCAAGCAATTTTACAAGCCTCGTGCATTTTAATTATGTATCTAATATAAATATGGTGCTTTTAATTTTAATTTGAGAAATACATGCATATGGGCTAAGCAACTCTTTTATTATTATTATTATTATTATTATTATTATTACGTCTTCCGGCTTTAGGCACTACGCGGATGGGGAGGGATTCCCTGTGGAGGGCGTTTTAAGAACACTGACTCGTATCCATGTTACACATGGGGAAAAACATGAAAATGCACATGCATGCAGCCCGCTCGCCGGGACTTGAAGCCCAGACCGAACTACCAATGTTGAGTGCTTATACAGCTCCTCCACTGGTGGGCTCCACTAACTGCTTTTGAAAGAAAGAGAGATGGAATGAATAAATTGGGAATTTTGTATTTGTTCAATATATAGCTTGTATTTCAAGCCAAGTGACCTACTAGCTACAAAACGGTAAATTTACTTAAAACTGGTATTTATTAATTGGGAATTTTGTATTTGTTCAATATATAGCTTGTATTTCAAGCCAAGTGACCTACTAGCTACAAAACGGTAAATTTACTTAAAACTGGTAGTTCGGGCTGAGATTCAAATCACAGCAAACGGACTGATGCATAGCCATTTTCGTGGATTTTCCCAAGCGTAACGTGTACACAAGCTAATTTTCCTTTTGAACGTCCTCAACGAACGGTCGCGTACACTTAGCCGGCAACCACTTAGCCGACGGGACACTTAACCGACACCAGTTAGCCGACAAGACATTTAGCCGACAAGGACACTTAACCGACATGGACACTTAGCCGACAGGATATTTAGCCAACACGGACAGAGCCTACAGGACATTTGGCCGACACACAGAATTCGCCGTCAGGGCATTTAGCTACGGGACAGTTAACTGTCAAGACATAAATGTCCCGTCGGCTAAGTGTCACGGACCCCTCCACGAAGACATCCATCCACTTAAGCAAAGAGTCTGTCAATGCTTTGCCATATTCAAATAAAGCAAAACAAAACTATCTTAGGCACTTGACTGAGGTAATGTGGGATAAATTTTCACGTTGGTACAATCAACAAATTTTGTTCCCCAGCCGGCAGTTGATAACAATTAAGTATTCTGAAGTTTTCGGTTTTTCCCATTGAGTTGATTCCTCTTTCCTTATATATACTTTATTTAAGTATTTAATTCACTAGTTAGATGCTTAGCTCCGCATCGCATTACCATACATATGAAGACAAACCAACGTATGGCTTATAAAGCCTGTTTATTTTTGCTTGCTTATAGTTCGCTATATAGCAATATCTATGATTTGGAATTGTACCTAAGTTTCAAGTGTAGCTTTCATATGGAAATTTATCTTGTCATATAAAAGTTATAAATAATTTTATAATAGGTAATTTAATTATAATAGGAAAAAAAAAGTGCTCATCAGCAAGAAAGAAAGAAATTTAAAATTATTTGCATGCAAACCTATGTATTATTTCTGTATATGTCAAAGAAAAGAATAATAAATTTAAAAAAAAATCTGATGTGGACACCCCATGACTTCCCTGTATGGTCTATTAAATTATATACATTTTTTGCTACATTTCCATTAAACTTATTTCTTCGATTTCCATTAGAGATACATCACTCATTCAATAAATTCAGTTCTCACTTCACGATAAAGCAAAAATTCATAAAAACTCAAAATATCTTCATTTAAGTTTGTGAAATAGAGAAAAACATAAACCACCAAATAGAGTTAAAACACTTAAAAACAATTTTTATAATTAAAATTAAAGTTTCTACGCAAAAACAAAATTACTTTTGGTTTTACTCGGCAAAAATACACTGAAGATGCAGAGATTGAAACTCAATAAATTCACATTAAATTTATTGAGTTTCAAATGTAAACAAATGGCGGTTCCTTACGCTTAACTCACCACTTAAAATGCAGATTAACTAAAGGCATAAAAACCTTAACCGCAACATAAAAGCCACATAATTCAATCACTTTTAAAGAATAAAATGCACAATTTACCAACATATAACGATAAAAGCCTGAGATCTCCGAACCAGGTAACAGACAGGAATACATATATATATTTATATATGATTGGTGCAGCCGATTACTACGAAAAAGGGAGGTGCACAATTACATGTATTAACAGCTCCATATGCAAAATTTTAACTTTCTATAGTTTCATTCTTAAATTATGCGAGATACATACATACGTACGAACGTGCAAAAGTTAAGGAAAAAAAAATTCTTCTGCATCCATTTTAAATCAATTTTACAATCCTTTATGGCAAAAATAGCCTTTTATTCTGCCCGTGCGTGCAGATGTAATCCAAAAATATCGTTCAGATTGCTTCAAGAGCTCTCGAAATGGATATTTTCGTTGAAATATGACATCCAAAATTTGTTGCGATTACTATACTTCCTTTACTTCGTACTTAAGAAAGAATAGGTTGCTATTATTTATTACCAAATTTTAAACCACTCGGAGAGTTTTCATAATTTGTTTTTTAAGCTAAAAGTAATTTAATTTTGAGATAACTGACTAAATTAACTTCTAAGTAGTTTGAAACAGATGAAATAAATGTTAGACTGAAAATTTAATGGCTAGAATACTGTACATTTGAATTACAAAATAAAATCATTTAGAGACATTAGGTAATTTCGAAGCCGGAGAGACGAAAAATTAGCAATGCCCTCGCCGGGACTCGAACGACTTACCTCTCGAGTACGCGTCAAGCGTGCTGACCACTACACCAGGAAGGCGTGATAAGAAGGCGGGACAAATACCTTATAACCAAAAGAATTTTTTTCACCATACCCGAATTTCAGATTTCAGACAGGTAAGAAACATAAAATTGAAATTTTTCTTCGAGTTATTGTTTATATAGTGTTCGATTAATATTTAAAAAATTACATTTAAAATTTATCTAAAATATTTTATCATGCGTTCGACTCGCATGTAATTTGAGTTTGAGTGTAATTGATATATGTTTATACATAATAAAAATCCTTGCAGATTTAGATACTCGAATAAAGTATTACAATGAATCAAGTGTCCTAATTGCTTCAACTATGATATGGAAATGCAGTTCCAATTAAGAATCAATTCATGCGCATATGAGCCGTTGTAAAGCTCTTATCATTCGAAACGAAATTACTTCCACGAATATTTTGAATAAGCAATCATAAAATATTTCAAGGTCTTACTAAACTCAAACGAATTGATATCTTTTCAGTCTTTTCTGCTCATATCATTCAAATTACTGAATAAATAAGCAATTTCCAAGCTAACAACATAATAGGATATTTTAAGGACTACAAAACCTGATGGTAATATACCATTACCGCGGAATGCTCTGTACAGCGAGATATTAAAGGAGAGGCTGAACCAAGTCCCTGCAGAAACTAGTAAAGCTCCTTCCGGGCCCCGAGAAGACAAGATGCAAGATTTTATTGAAAAAATAATTTACTTCAGAGGAAACATTAAGAAGCTAAAACTACTGTTGAGAAACTTTGATGTGGTTTCAAAGCTGCAATATACCTTATGAAGATTGCCGACGAGGATTATTAAGGATTTTCACCTAAAAAATATGCAGTTATTTTAAGTGATTACTCTCATTTTTCGTCTTCTCTACAATTATTCTCAAGCAGCATCGCACGGGGTCAGTTTCTGGGAGGGTGACCTCCCATGTGACTGGCTGCGACGAATCAACAGTTAGTATTTCGTGGGATAATTCTCTTTGACTTTGCGCAGGACTTGTTCGCACCAGTTCGACGGCTTTTATCATCTTATTAATAGTATAGACTATGCCATCTTATATTACAGCTTTCCAGAACCAATGTTTATGTACCTTTTTGACTTATTCATTATGATTTTTGTATTTCTGTTCTCACATTTGTTCTAGGATATCTCTTGGTTACTTCATCACATCATTCGAAGCTACCAAATGTTCTACAAGGGGTAAGGCCTTTGGCCTAGGCACCCTGGTGTCGCAAGCACCACTCTACCGGGGAGCGTGATATTTTAAGAAATAATGAATTTCATTCCCTTAAAGCAATATTTTTACACCTATATTATAAATGGGAAAATTCGATTTTACTGTAATTGGGAAAAGAAGGATATTTCATTTCAAGTAATGCAGGTATCATTATGAGTATCATAAGCCTTTTTTACAGTGTACGATGTTTATATAGTCATTTAATTTACAATGTAATTGACTGAAAAATGCTTATATTCTATTATTTTAGTAGAACGGATCCAGATTAAATGATAAAGATTGATCAAAATAATATACCTGCATCTGTTTCTATGAAAGATGGAATATAAATTGTTATTTTTCAGGGAAATCGTTGCAAAATTTCCAAAAATGCGTTGTCTATACAAAACTGTTTCTTGCCTGAGAGAGGTTTAGGAAAATACCTTCGTAGTTCGATTAAAATGAAAACAAATTAATTAATTAAAAACCCTGAAGGTTTAATTAAATCCTAACATTCGCTGAAACGCTGATTGCCAATTATTTCCCTGTGTTACAAAATTTCCTGTGCTTCATTATAAAAGACAGCCAACGTCCAAAGAAAAATTTCTTTAACTTGCAAAATAACTGCGAAAAAACTAAAATAAATAATGAAAGATGAAAATCTTCTTGAGAAAACTGACTAAAGCCAGATGAAAGTAATTACAGATGTTATTAATTTATTAAAAGTTAAAATGTTATTGATTTATTTAAGGTTACTTTATGCACTGCATTCCATTCTGAATTCCCAAACATGGAGTATAATTAATTATGCGATTATTGCATTTGACAAAGATGCGATTGTATTTAAATTTAAGCTTATTTGTGAAATTGTATCTTGAGACAGGCAACAGTTTATCTTGATACTTTCTTTCTACTCCCATGTTTAAATTATCAAATAAGGTTTCAAGATATATCTACGATTAGTTTGATTAAACTGTACGATCATATATATATATATATATAATATACATGTGGGATGAGGTTAGGATTAAAATAGAGGAAGGCAGTGGCATTTTAAAGGTATTTAAGGATGAAAGAATAAACATGATTATGGTATGTACAGAGTGAAAGGAAGTAAGATTAAAAAGTTCTATTCATCATGAAACTAAATTATATCATCAATCAATATCGTCGAGCAGCATAGTTCAGTTACATCCGACGCCACATCATAACCTCATCGGAATGGAAGTCTCCTTTCATTTCCTCACGGAGCTTGAAGAAGTATCTCGCTACTGTAGCTGTTGCCAGATTTAGGAAAAGGCGGATGAGTTGTACGAACGAATGTCCACATACATATGTATTACATCACATTTAATAATTCATTTAATTGCATAACTCGAAATTTTTCGAACAGTATGAAATTAAAATGCTTTGGGGCCAGAATTTATCATTATTTGATTCTTTAATTTACACCATTTTTAAGCTATTTTTATGTGAACTTTGAACGTAGCATTTGGTACAATTTTTAGTCATCTAAGAATCATTTTCTCTTCTATTGTCTCATAGTTAAGGAGAATTAGGATAATAAGGAAGCACTAAATAGTTATTATTTAAATTAGTTTTCAATTTAAATTCAATCAATTGAATATCACGATCTGATAATTAAATGAGACTAAATTTAACACGATTCAGATAAAAGCGGCATAATTTTCTGCACAGTTCCTAAATATCCAGTTCCAGGTAAATAACCAATTTAAAATGAAATCCATCATTATCATCTAGGCTGTAAAATTCATTTTTAAAAAAGCAAAAAGAAAACAGTATTAGCATGTTTTCGAATAGTTAAAAAAAATTTGTCGAGTATTCGTTACATGACAGTTGATTTCTTCTTCGCGATTCTGCGCCACCTCAACAAACGATAGTTAGTAGAGCATGAACTGCGGGAGGCGGAGGAACGAAAATCCGGTTTATGTACTTGACCATCCACACAACTCACCAGATTCGTCTTCCTGCAATTATATATTATAGGTTTTGTTACACTGCTTCGCTTGAAGTATTAAATGGAAAGAGATAGACTTTCAGTGTAAAAACGTATAATGGTCCTGTCTTTTTTTATTATTTTTTTATTATTATTATCTCAGTTTCATTCTTTAATGCTTACATTCCAAGACCTAGAGATTTCTTTCGTTTGTTAAAAAAACTATTTTTATTTGAAATAATATCACAATCATATCATATGAATGGGACCAGAATGGTTCCAAATAAATGATTTTCACAATAAAAATATATATATTGTTTTGTTTGAATCTATCATTCTAGGACAGCGTCTTATTTATTTAAACATATATTTATCTTCAGGGTTTGATTTGTTAGATTACTGTAAAGTATTCAAGGGTCATCTGCCTAAAGGGAGGGATGCCTTCGTGAAAGATAAAATGGCTCATATACACGTTACTTACGGTGAACCTACGAAAACGCCCCTTGCAGAGAGGGCGTTCGCGGGATTCGAGACTAGGACCGAACTACCAGTGTTCGGCGACTTTACCGCTCGGCCCCCCCTTACCTTGATAGCCTTAAGTACACTGTCTTGCAAAGGTTAAGGAGCAGCATGTTTTTGTGTTTTGAGAATGAAGCAAGAAATTTTCAGGAAATGTTCACTAAACACCTCTTTAATGAATGCGACACAGAATGTTTCTAAAGTTCAATACAAATATGAATTACAACAAAACATTGCACTCTTGCCAGAGAAATCCAGTCTTGGAAAAACACCATATCACAATTTTTAGGAAAAATGGGGTGGTAACATTATAAACACGGTTTTTAATAAGGAATATGTCCACCCCTATCTGCAATACATTGGCGTCAGTGATGCTTCATGCTGTCAATTAAGTTGTCGGTCACTGAAATGGGAAGCAACGACCAGACAGGGAGTAATCCATGTTCAAGCTCATATAACGACCTAGAAGAAGGATTTAAAGCAGAAAACAGTCTCCCAAGGCAATCCCAAAGATGCTCTATAGGATTCAGGTCTGTGGATTGAACTGGCCATTCCATCCGCTCCATACCGTGACTCTCCGGATATTCTTCAGCAACCAGAGCTCAGTGCGGTGACGATTTGCCATCCATCAGAGGAAATCCAGGACCAACAGCATTGGCATATGGGAGGATATATTGATCAAGGATCTCGTCTCGATATCTCACACCTGTCAAAGTTCTCCCATGAAACACATGCAGGTATGTGTGACCACCAGAGAGACCCCAGCCCAAGCCATTTGTGGGATTGGTTGTATCTGGTGCATTATTCCCTCCAGATAAGTTAACAACTTAAATTACTCTCCAGTGTGAGCCTGGACTCGGCTCTGAAGAGGACAGACGCCTATTGTTGACTGGTCTAGGAGACATGTTCCCTTGCTCAACATAAAGGGGCACCTCTGTGTGTTCGGGTCAAAGGGACACAAACAAGTAGTTGTCTTGCATACATTGTGCAAGCGTCTGCGCACTGCAGTAGCTGAGATACTTGTTCTTGTTGCCACTAAATGATCTGTCACGATCTGAGGCACAGTAAGGTTTCTCCTCTTTCGGGCCGAAAGAGTTAAATAGCAGTCTCCCGCAGGTGTTGTAACTCTAGGTCTTCCTGGAACATGTCTTCTAGACACAGAATCTTCGGATTCAAATTGATTCCATAGTCGGTGGACCATACTACGAGACACTGAAACGTCTAGCAGCATCAGCTTGTGACATCCCTATTTCCCTCCACCGATCCCCCGTCACCTCGAACTTCTCCTGGACATTTATAGAATCTTGGATATTTTGCACGAAACTGTAATAACAACTGATAATCGACACTCGTGAACAAACGTTACAAGTTTTGCATTTTTTCTCCAACTTCTATATAAGTATTCATTTCTATAAATAAAAGTGGTAGATATTGCTTTTGCATATATTTTCTTAAACTCTGTTGCTGCCATGAGTATGAACTGTGAATTTAAACATTACTGACAATTTTGTAAGTGTGCGCTTTGAAAAACATGCTGTTCCTTAACTTTTGGAGTGCAGTGTATTTTATTCCTATTCCTACAATAAGGTTCGCCAGTATATGTCCAATTTGTTCTTTTTTGGTTTGGTTTATGACTACGGCAAAGCCTCGAAGGCTGTCGGCCCAAGGAGACGGATGCCTTCGTGGAGGAGTTTCTAAAGGAAACTGGCTCGTATACAAGTTACACATGGGGCAAATCACGAAAACAAACCAATGCATGATCCATCCGGACGTGTTTTTAATTGCTACTGTTAAAAAATATTTCGAATAACTAATATTGAGTTATAATACTGAGTCTGGATTCTTCTGATAGTCTGCTGTAGTAGATGCACTATCATATTGGCAGATTTTGGAGAAATGAGTTAGAATATGAGAACGGTATTGAATTGCAAATGTTGCCATATGTCTTGAAATTATCACCAGTTTCAATCAAGGTCAATCGCTTGTAACCGGACACATTTCCCAACAAATTGTTATTACTTATAGAATGCTTATTTAAAAGAACAATAAAGGTTTATATCTAGTAAAAAAAATAAAAAAACGAAGATTACTCCGAGTGAAGGAATTATTTTTTTTTACTTGGTAAAAAGATTAGAAAAGAAAAGGTAATCCTGTGTCCAAAATCTTTAAAATAAATGAAAGAAACGTACGTATTCTAATCTTTACAGCTGGAGAGGTTCAGAAAAGACCTATGTAAAGCTAAATATTTTTTTAAAGACAAAAGAAAACTTTGCTCTGTTTAAACATGCATTCAGAAGTTCAGCCCAAACAAAGCACCGTAATTGAAGTTTTGTTCTTGGAAGTACATTTATTTTCATTTTGCCCTGATGCTAGAGCTTAAAAGGAAAGGTTTCTTCTAAAACTTCTGCCGTTCTTCGAATCTCCAGGAAATATAAAAGTTAAGATGCAAGATACAAAGTTAAAAATAAGATCAATCCTCTTTTGCCTTGCGTTCAAGATAACGCAGCACATTTACCAGCATTCACTTAAACTATCTGCATTCTAATAGCATTTCCAATGAAAGGGAAGGGAACAATATAAAGGCAATATATTATCAAGATTCCAAATTATGGGTATTTTCTGAAGGAAAAACAATTATCCCTCTGGTTGTGTTACACAGTACAAAGAATTTGAACAGACATAGACTTAGTCAGAAATGCCGAATATATTTGCACGTTAAAATCAACTTTGTACTATAGTGCACACACATGATAACATTGTAAACATCTTATTGCTACATCTTACTTGAATGCTAATTGTATAGCTTGCGTAATCTGTCCATTTTGCTGTAATTTGTTTTTAGTCCAAAGGGCCTTTGTCCCTGAGGGATTATTGTTCTTCATTTTAGCGTTTTGCGTTGAAATCCTTAAAAAGCTGTATCACTTTTCAAACTGTTGCCATCAAATATTAACGCCCTGTATTATATTTGAAGAAACTAAATAATGAAGAATCTGCATAAATGTATGTATGTTTCTCGCATTGTTATAAAACAACGGTACTTCTATCCAAAAATTCTATCCAATTTTGAATAACTTAATCCAACTGTGAATATGGGCATCTGGAAGACCAAATTTGAAATTAGTTTTATTATCGATTTCATATTTTGCAAAACTTTAATGAATTTCTTATTAACGAACTCAAGAATTTCAAAGCGAATAATGGTAATGCTGTACAGAAAAAGCATTTTTATTTCCAGCGCGTGTGAGTGTGTATCGGAAATTCTAAACATATGCTCAATTTAAAATTATTTTGCGATATTTACTCTTGAACTGAATTTTATGGTTTACCATATTTAATAAATAAGGGTAAAACACAAAATGTTAAGAAACGTCCCTTTGGACGTAATGGGAAATCTGAAACCTTTCAAATTTTCTTTTCTTCTGGATTCTTCTGATAGTATTCAAGGTACTCAAAATATAATACAGAAGGAAGAAAAAGATTAAATCATGAATATTTTATGTTAATATCAGAATTGATTTCTAAAAATATAAGCATCGAGAAAAAGTTATTATTTGTTACTTATTTTTCATATTTCCCTTAGTGGTGAAAATTTATGTTTCAAGTAAACATTAATACAATTATTTTAGTTATTCTATTAGTGGAAGTTTTAAAATTGTCGGCTTTCCTTCCAATAATTTACTTTTAGGTTGTAGAGTCATCAAGTTATTTTGAAGCAAAAGACATGAAAAATGAGCAATACCCTCGCCGTGACTCGAACATGGGCATCTCGAATACGCGCCGAGTGCGCTACCGTTACACCACGAAGGCATGTAGAAAGGAAGGAGAAAATACTTTTAAAATATTAATTAAATTTAAAAACGCATTTTGTTTTGAAAAAGAGCAATATGTTAACAGCTTGATTTTTCTATTTACATTTAGTTTTAATAATTTAATGTACGAATATTAACGTTAATTTGATATAAGTATGTTGAAATCATAAATAATTTAATTTACAGAACAAAATTTTTAATACTTCATATGAGCATGAGCCTGTTGTTAATTGATACTAATGTGCTCATATTGATCTAAAGACACCGAGGTCTGAAAAATATTGTTACGATATGTCAAGGCCCGGGGAGATGGCTTCCCCGCAAAGCAGTTTTAGGGTTGCCAATAAAATGGCAAGGGAAGGCAGGGTTGCCACATTTGGCGAAATATCGCCCATTTGGCGACAAAATGGGCGATATACCATGGACTGATGGAGAACCTTCTGGAACGAATTCTTACCGGCTTAGCCCAGAATGTTCTCGAACACAAGCCGAAAGCTATATAAACCCTGCTGGTGCGCAGTCAGTTAGTATCGAGAGTGAGTGCCTCGTCGAGAGGGCGAGTAAGTCTGTCTCGTGTAGAGTGTGTGTGTGTCTCATCTATGGAGTCCGTCTCCGCGGAGTGGATCGAGTTGACAGCCCGGCAGCGAGTGCCGAATGGGTCGTCGAGGGCACCGCAAGAGTCTCGGAGTATATCGCGGTTAGTGCATCGTCGAGAGAGCGTGTTGAGCTCCGGCAACGACTGAATCGAAGAGTCGGGAGCTGTGCTCGTGTGTCGTGGAGTGCATCGCGAGTTGTAGCGTGGAGAGTCTCGAGAGTACGTGAAGCTCCGAGGACGACCGAGCAGAGTCGGGAGCTTTGCAGTGAAGCTATCTCCACCGTTATTGCCTGAAAGTGTGAAGGCTGTGTCGCTGATTGTCCCAGCGTCTTTACAGTAGATCATCGATGACTGTAGAAGTGTTTTTTAGCTGTCCTGATTAATATTGATAAATAAAGTGTGTTTCGATACTTCATACAATGTCGTCGTTATTCACTCCACATCTACGAACCCCGTACGAACGTGAAGGAAGAAAATAACGTAACAACTTGAGTCAGAAGAAAAGAAAAACGCAACAATATGAATAGATAAGCAATAAACAAACCAACAGCAAAAGGAGAATCACGAAATTTAGCAGAAAGTATAGTTAATTTTGTAAAAAAAAAATATGTCATAATTCAGTGTACTACTGAAAATCCCAAATCTTCAGAAAATAGTAATAACATGTTTTATAAATCGGTTAACTTAGATACATAGTTTTAAATCATATGGAAAAAGTTCATAAGTCATTAACCTCATTTTTTTATTCTTTCGTTTTGTTACATTTTATCATAAATTTCTCCTCATTCGCTTTAATACATTTAACACCTGACCTAGAGTTCCTTAATTTCATGTTTGTTAGAAAACTCTAATTGTATCTTCTGCAGAAATTTAGAGCCCTTTTATTGGCTACATTCTTAACATCTTATAAATCTAGGAGAAAATGAAATTTTGTATCTGCTTGTAACAACGGATAATGAAATAACGCTTGTGAGAGATTGCGTGCTCGTTGATTTTCTTTTCGTCGGTTATTCTGCTACTCCTTCCACCCTAACATTAACTCATGTTGATCGTGGAACTCATTACGGTATTCACGATAACGTCCATTAATAAATTATGTTCGAGACTGCGAACACAAGGACGATATTGTGATTTTCGCGCTCGATGTGTTGTTCCTAAATCAACACGCTCTACCAGAATGCATATAGGGAGAAAAAAATTCCAGTATAGTTCTGGTTTCTAGCAGAAAGGGCTGGCTGACAAATGACAATTTAAGGTTGGCTATTAGAATATATTTTCAGATAAAGCATGATATGATAGAGCATGAGTGATACGACAAAGTATGAAAATTGTA